AAAAGGTTTTTTTAAAAAATTATATACACTGTGTTTCACACATTTCTTCTTTCACATTGTGTTTCATCTGATCATTCCTGTACATTGTGTCTCATAAAACTAGTCACAATTGATCTATGCTCACTATTACCCTGACTTTTCAGGTCCCAACTGGTTCTTTCCTAATTCCTTCACACTCTCTGTCCACTCACCAAATTCTGCAATCCTGCACTCTGGAATTTCCCCCTCTCCTCACCCTCGGCCCCTTAGCCCCTTTCCCTTCCCTCTTTTGATGTTTATACACATCTTACTAGTTATCCTTCTATTTTTACAATAATAGCTTTATGCAGTATTTGTCCTTTCTTGTGATTATTTTATTATTTTTATATTCCGATTTTGAAATTGCTGGGTTCAGGGTCTTCACTCCACTCTTAAATCACTGAAAAATCAAATTCTTTTAAAAAGAAATAAACATCATGACTCTGGAGACCAGTCTGCAGAAGCAGTTGGCCAGAATGGGTGAGCTGCAGGACGAAATGCTATTTCACTAAGGGAAGTGAGGAGTTTGTGATAAGGTCTTTTATTTAAAAATCCATTAGGGTAGGCAGCATGGCACTGGTGACCAGTTTGAAAGTCATCTACTGGAGCTGGTTGCTCTGATGCTAAACACTGTGACACTGATGTGTCAGATGTGATAATGGTTACCCATGGGGGGCAGTGCTTGGTGGAGCTCCCCTGACTGAAACAAGCCTGGAAGCAGGCCTGGCATCCACTTCCAAAATGACTTGCCTCCGGAAACTCTATGAACAGTGCTCAGGCCTTTTGTTCATAGGGTCGCTATGAGTCATCTACGACTCAACGGCACTTAGCAACAAGTATTTTGATTATAATTGTTTTTGTTAAAATAATTGTTTTTGTTAAAATACATTACCTATTTCCCCTTTGTCTTTCTTTTTTCCCCCATTTAAAAAAAATTTTGTTTTTATTATTTGTGTGTGTGTGTGTGTGTGTGTACCGTCAAATCAGATTTGACTGGTACAGGAGGAGATTGTTCCTCCTTCTCCAGCAGAACATCTCATGGATTTGAACTGCACACCTCTGGGATTGCAGTGTAGCTTCTTGCCACTAGGCCACCAGAACTCTCCCCCTTTGTCTTTCTTAAAGAATGAGATAGGAGATGTTATTCTGTCTGCTCAAATTGCTATTCTTGTAAAAGGAATTCGTTTGATAATATGTTGCTTTCTGAGCTTAACTGTTAAGCTCCACACATGTCTAGGCTTAAAATAACTACACTTTTGTTGTTATGAAGTGCCACTGAGTTGACTAGGACTCAGAGTGACTCCATGAACAGTAGACCTTTGCCAAGTCTCTGCCATTCTCACGGTCTCCCACAGGCTCGATCCCGTTGTTACAGTCACTGTGGCATCTTGTGCAGGGTTCTCTTTCTCTGACTCTCTGCTTTTCCCAGCATGATGCCCTTTCCCAAGGACTGGCCCCTCCTGAAAACATGTCCAAAACATGAATTTTCACCCTCCTCACCTCTACGGAGCACCCTGATTGAACTTCCTCCAAGATAGACTTGTTTGATATTTTGGAAGCCTATGAAATATTCCGAAAGCTTTCTCAATACTAGAATACAAAAGCAATGATTCTTCTCCTTTCATCCTTATTCACTGTCCAGCTTTCAGATTAATATACACACAATGAGTTACTTATAAGTCTTAAAGCAGACTTTAAGCAGCACTTCCTCTTTAGTTAACAATTCCTGAACTCTGCACATATACCAGGCACTGTGGTTGGCCTCTGTATTATTTCATATGATCCTCTCAACCTATCAAATAGGAATTGATCCTCTGTTACAGAAAACTGGAGTCTAGGTAGATTAACTGACTTGCGCAAGATAGCTTAGCTTGTATTTGGCAAAGCTGGGATTTAAACTTCTGTCTTTTTAACAGTGTTCTATTGTATCTGATTCCTCTTGCTGTAATAACTGAGATCTACAGTGGTCATGAAATGTTCCTATCTATCCATCAATTTATTATGCATCTATTTATTGGTAGGCATATACAGTATAAAAAAGTGAAAAATAAGGCCTAATAACAGCGATCACGGCTCAGAGGATCTTGGGCCTTTATTTTTATTATCTTTATTATTCTTTCTGTGTGTAATTATTTACCTTTTCTTTTTATAATTTAGTACAGACTCGACATGATCACAATTAGGTCATTGTTGCTAGGTGCCATCAAATCAGGTATGACTCTTAGTGACTATGAACAACAGAACAAAGCCTTCCAGTTCTGCACTGTCCTCACAATGACTATCCTAGTCATTCCAAGCCATTTAAAACCCAGTGTGCTTTCTTAAGAAGATAAGAAATAAATAAAATTGCTGCTAGCCAGGTAGCAGTCTCCACAATTCATGTTATCATTACTGTTCGGAAGCAGAAGGAGCATTCACTTCCTAAACAACATGCCTCTGGAAACTCTATGAACTTTGATAATGTCGCTAGTTATAAAAAGGCTTCAGGCCTTTTGTTTATAGGGTCGCTATGAGTCATGCTCGACTCAAAGGCAATCAACAAGAACAACATTAACTGTAGAGAAATGTGATGGGGAAAATGACCTTTGTTCTTAACAAAATCTCTATGTCCAGAGACCCCATTCCTACCCTTTATTCTCTTTAAAAGCAGCAGGATCTTACCATAGACAAAACCAAAACCCCAACCTTCTGGCTAAGGAGCTGTACGTTACCACTGCCCCCTGTGGACTGTGGGACACAGGCATGTTTCATCCTTGTAAAATGGAGATCTTGATGGCAGTCTGATACTGAACATGTGGTACACACTGGAGCTGAAACAAATGAGGAGAAAGGAAATGCTCTTTACTAATTCTTTGCAATCCTTCTGGTGACAATAAGGAGAAAGGCTAATTTCCGTGCTAATTGGTAGCATCAGTATGGATGGTGAAGAGATTGAGATAGTTAACAGTTTTATCTTACTTGGCTCCACAGTCAACACTCTTGGTTGCAGCAGCCAGGAAATCAGGAGACGAATTTCATTGGGAAAGTCAGCTGTGGAGGGACCTCTCAAGAGTACTGAAGAGCAAAGACATCAGGCTGGAGACTAAGGTGCACCTGATCCAGGCTATAGTCTTTGCAATTGCGTGCTATACATCAGAGAGGTGGACAGTGAATAGGGTTGATAGAAAGAGAATTGATGCCTTTGAGCTGTGGTGCTGGAGAAGAGTGTTGAATATACCATGGACTGCTAGGAGATCAAACAGGTTTGTCCTGGAGAGGGTGAAGCCAGAATGCTCCTTGGAGTCAAGGATTCTGAAGCTTCATCTGACATACTTTGGGCATGTTGCAAGGAGGGACTGGTCCTTGGAGAGGGACATCATGTTTGAGAGAGTGGAGGGAGAGCGCAGGAGAGGAAGACCCTCGATGAGATGGATTGATTCTGTGAGTGGAGTGATGGGAATGAGTGTGTCTGAGACGGCAAGGTTGGCACAGGATAGAACGGCATTTAGGGCTCTTGTACATAGGGTTGCTATGACTTGCAAGTGACTTGATGACACATAACAACAATAACAATAGGTCCTTAGCACTTCTCTGGTACTTGTATTAAAAATCCCTATCAAAATGTTAATTTTGAAGGATGTGGGAGTGTAAGCATATGTTTGCTTATTTATTTATTTAAAATACTTTTTTGAGACAGTTGGCATGCAGTAAAAACTGCACCAACTAGATGTGTATATGGTTAAGTTTTGGCTTATGCGTGTCGCTGTGATGGCATCACCACAATCAAGATAATTAACCTACCCATCACCTCAAAAGTTCCTTTATACTCCTTAATAATAGCAATAATAATAATAAGGATGCAAATAAGGCCGGTCCTTAGAAAAGGACATCACGCTTGGAAATGTCCATGAAAGAGACGAATACTCTTAATGAGACGGAGTGACCCAGTGGCGGTGGCAATGAGCCTCAGCACAGAGGAGATTGTGAGGAGGACACTGGACTAGACAAGACTTGGCTGGGTTGTACACAGGCTTGTTGTAAGTCCAAGTAGAAGCTACTGCGTCTAACAAGCCTGAAAGTTCTCTGTGCCTCTCTCTCCCTTCCATTTCCCTTTCATGCTTCCGTAAGTGTTATTCTAACTTCTTTCACGTGAGACTTAGATTGGAACTTTACAGAAATGGAACAATAAATTATGCAATCTTTTGCATCTGGAAGTGTTCATTCAACATGGTATTTTCTGAGGCTCATTCATAATGTTGCATGAAGCAACAGTGCATTGCTTTGTGTTATTGACTAACACTCAGTTTTATGACTATGTGGTAATTTTTTATCAAATTTATTGTAATGCACATCTAGATTATTTCCAGTTCTGTTCTATTACCAATAAACTGTTAAGGATGTTATGTTCAAGGCTTTTTGTACCTCTGAGTTTTCCCATTTCTTGAGTAAATAACTATGGATAGAATGCTGCTTTATAAGGTGGGTGTATATGTTTGTCTGTTTTAGAAATTACCCAACAGTTATGAAGATAATTGTTCCACCCTCCACCATTCTACACTGATGGTATATAAGAGCTTTAGTTGCTCCATGTTATTGTCAACATTTAGTATTTACCTGTTTGTTTTTGTTTTTTTTAAAGCTGTAGATTTTGAAGCAATTTTCCATGTGTATTTTATACTTTAAGAGAGAGAGAACTAAAAAAAAAAGAAAAATAATGATGGCGTTTTCTAATACTGAACCCCTAAAAACATAAAGAAATCACATGGATATTTTGTTCACACCTGCTCAGAATCCAGTATCTGAATGTGGCCCAGATGATAAGGAAACATTTTTATTTTCTATTATGTCGACAGTTTACACAGTTGAGACTTGTGTTTGGGTGGGAAAATATTTCTAGCACAAGTCTCCCTCTGAGAAATCTTTTCTTTTTCTTTTTACTGGGAGGGCTGACTTGTTGTTCAGAGTATCCCAACAGCACCTCACCCCGTTTCTCCTTCTTTCAGAGCATAAATGCCCGGTGGACGAGCGTGAACAGCTGGAGGAAACCCTGCCGCTGATTTTGGGGCTCATCTTGGGCCTGGTCATTGTGGTGACGCTTGCCATTTACCACGTCCACCACAAAATGACTGCGAACCAGGTGCAGATCCCCCGGGACCGGTCGCAGTACAAGCACATGGGCTAGGGACCATTAGCCAGGCAGCCCTGGGCCCCTCCTTCCTCCTCCGACTGGATCAGGTAGAGAACAAAGCACCTTCCCACCTCATACATGAGGACACACCAACATAGCTACAATCAAATAGACCTGGGCATTTGAGGCTTGCTTGGCCTGCGTCCACGCTTAAACCCAGGGATGGGGGAGTCTTTTGGATTCATGGGGTGCATGGTAGTCGCTTTCCTCCATTCTGGGGAGCAGGGGAAGGCCGAGGTAAGCTAGTCTTCATGCCTTCGATGGGTTAGCTTTAACTCTCCAATGGGCACTACGTTCAGCTTGGAGGACTATCTGGACTGAAAGTATAGAGATTGAGAACACGCTTCCTTGGGAAGGAAAGCCCTTTCGGTTCAGAGGCAGAGGGGTGCCTGCTCCCTTGGACATGACTGGCTTGCCCCCCACACCGTGCACAGCCTCACGCTCCCTGCAGCAAGCCCTCTGAAAGTGACTCACGCTTCTGGCTGACGTTCTGCATGTCTAGTGATTGTCTTGGGAATGTTTCACTGCTACCTGCTCTCAGTGACTTTGCAGCACAAGAACCCGTTCAATGTAACTATGCAGAGTTGTTTGGACTCCACATTGTGTCAGGCCCAGGTAAGGGGACCTGAAAAAGCAATTCATGTGAGTTTGTATTTCCAAACAAATTAAAGCACACTGCTCTCTGACCTTTGGCTCCTTTATTGGTTTGTGGGGATGTTTTTTATTATTAATTAATTTATTTTTCATTTCAATGAACATCTACAGAGATTTTGGAATTCCATTCAT